AAAACCTTTTAAGAGTTAGTAATTATTTTAGCAATAATGAACTTTCTTCTCCACTTCAGTCTGTGATAGACCAGATATTGCTCAAATTCTGCAGTAAGAAAATCCCTTAAAACTGAGCCAGCAGATTAGACTTAAATAGTAATTGGCTACTTGAATAACTGGTATTTCACATGGTATTTAATTTAAAATGGGTAACTGTGCTGTCTATGTTAAATGTTAACATTCAGTGTCAATTCAAGAATAAGAGAGAACAACATGTGTGCATGCTGGAGCTTACTGATGTGGCTACATTTATTTTGATTACTTTATTTTCCTGTTAGTTTCTTTGAAATTATTGGATCAAGTCATAAGAAATGGCCTGTTAAAGGGCAAAATAGTGACAGTTTGTTGGCTTAACCTCATAGATTTGAAGGATAAATCAGACCACTTTATTTCTGATCTGTCAAAAACTAGTTGACTTGCTTCTCCAGCATTGGTCTTCACTTTTCCACTCAGCCTTTATTCCTCTACTCATCAGTGATGATAACAGTTTTGCTGTTCAAAATAAATAGTTTAGAACACCTACTTTTACTTATCTCACAATCTCCTTAGGCATCTTTACCCATTTATTCATCACTACCCCTGCATTTGCCGGCAAGTGCTGGGTACAAAATAAAGCATGAGTATTGTTACCCAATAAATGGTTACACTTTAAATTTTGAAAAATAGATAATTTCTTTGTGTGGTATGGGGAACAAAAAAACGCTGGTCTGGTGTCAGAAGAACTTGATCTGCCTCCTGCTGAATAAAAGATCTTGAAGAAAGTAATTTGACATCTCTGGGCCTGTTTCTTTTTATGTAAAGTATAAATAGTACATTCTTTGCCATCAATGTAAAGCAGTTAGGAATAAATGAAAATGAGGTGCTAATTAGTAACTGTAGTAATTCTTCTCTTATGTAGATGTAACTGGAATGTTTAAATATATATGTAGGAGACAGTTCCTTTTTATGTGAACTTTATAGCTGCCAAAATGAAGATTGATAATCTCAACTCTTAGGTCCATCAAACATAAATGAATAAACAAAATTGTGGTATATCCTCACCCTAGAATACTATTCAGCAACAGTAAGGATATATGAGTTGGAGATTTTTAAGTACCTGTCCTCAGTATTTTCACGTGTATATGAATATTATTTTTCATGTATGTTCTTCTGGAACTCTTATTAGAGACTAGATGATGGTGAATGGATTGAAAAAGTTAAGATCTAGACTTAACTTTTTTGCTAGATAATTTTTCTTGATTTCTTTGAAATGGAAAAAAATTCTTAACTGAGACTAGTTGATTTGTGATAATTAGGCTTATAGGCTTATAATAAGAAAAAGTAGCAGATACAGTAAACAGCTAATATATACTAATATGCAAGTATGTCGATGTTTTAAACCAGCTTTAATGGCATATTATTTATATACATAATAAATTCATCAATTTTAACTATATGATTCCATGAGTTTTGACAAATATATACAGTCTTATATCCATGCCATAATCAAGGTAGAGAATATTTCATCATCTTCAAACGTCTCCCTATGTCCATTTGCTGTGAATCTCCTTCCCACTCCCTGGCACCTACTGATCTGCTTTCTGTCACTACAATTATGTCTTTTTTAGGATTTCATATTGATTCATACAGAATATTATTTTTTGTGTGTCTGGTTTATTTCATTTTGCATACTTTTGGATTCATCAGCATTGTTTTATATATCGATTATTACTCCTTTCTATATATTTCTTTTCTTTCCTCATCATGTTTCCTCTACCTTTTTTGTTGTTGTTTGAGGCAGGATCTTGCTATGTAGCCCCAGTTGGCCTGGGATTTGCTATGTAGTCCAGGCTGGCCTTGAACTCACAATCCTCCTGCCTTAGCCTTCCTCGTACTAGGATTACCATACTCAGCACCTCTACCTTTTTGAACATACAGTGTATAATTATAATAGTATTTTTATATCCTTTTCTGTTAGCAGCCTGCCATTTCTGGTCTGTTGCTATTGATTGACTTTTCCCTGGTTATAAGGTCATATTTTCCTGTTTCTTTGAATGCCTGAAATTTTCTCGTGCATTGTAAATTTTACATTGTTGGAATGCTGTGTTTTGTTATATTTCTATAGGTAATTTTGAACTTTGTTCTTGGAATCAATTGTATCCTTTTGAGACTTGCTTTGAGATTTGTTAGGGTAGGTCAAGCCCAATTTTTACTGTAGGGTTAATTTAGTTAGGCTAGTAAGGTGATGCTCTTCTGGGGACTCTCTTGGGTGCATTATAAGGTGTCCCCCTTTTGGTGGATGAAAACACAAACTATTCTGAACTCTGCGTGAGTGCCAGAAATTGCCCTGCTTACTGTTGGATCTTTCCCCAGCCCTCTGCAGATGCCCAGCATGCACTCTTTGCACCTCCCTCTTCTGTACACTGACTGCCCAACAAAGTCTAACTACTTGCCCCCACCCCAGCTCTGATCTCAACTTCCCTTAAACAAGACTGAGTCTCCCTTCCCTAAGCAGCAGTCTGGAACCTGTCTCTAGGTAGCATGGAGTAACCTGGAGGCTCACCCTTAGTTTTCATTCTCCCAGGCATCATGTCCTATATTGCTTGGGGCCCATTGTCAGAAAATCATTGTGCTGTATACTCTGCCCAGCTTTATATTGTTCACAGCAGAAAGGCAAATCTGGTCTGGTACTCCATCATAGCTGGAAATGAGAGTCTTTTCTCAAAGTAGAGTAAGCATGGTATTGATACTTCTTGGGAGGAATTAAGGTATCAGCTTCAATTCTCAACACACTTAAATGTAAAACATTTTAATTAAGTCTGCTCTTATTCTTTGTAAGATATTTGGCATAACTTAAGTGATGTTCCTTAAACTATGTACAATATAATTACAATACAATTAAAAAGTATTAATTTGGGATTATTTGTGGCCAATGTACAGTGTAACTTCTCACGAATGATGAATATGCTAGTGTTCTGATTCTAAGGATGTTTGTTAGTCATCTGTATCTGATTAATTTGTTAAATGTATTCTGCTTGGATTTTAAAAATAGGAATTTGCTGACTTTCTAATATACATAAGAAAATTACTTGTATTCGTTGCTGAGAAAACCACAAAACAGTGCTTAGTGCTTTGCAAGCTAATCTTTTGAATTTACCTCCTTGCTCTGCATAACAGAGCAATTGTTTTAGGCATCTGTATATAGATTGACCTAACCTACTGTCAACACTTGGCCAGATATTTAGGCCAGTTAGCAAACAGAGAATCATAAATTTTAATGTTTTTATTCATTTATTCACATGTGCGTACATTGTTTGGGTCATTTCTCCCCCCATCTCCCACCCTCTGTCCCCCAATCCCCCTCACTTATCTCTAATTTTGTTGAAGAGAAGACATAAGCAGTAATAAGAAAGACAAAGCGTTTTTGCTAGTTGAGTTAAGGATAGCTATACAAAGATATTCCTAGCATTGCTTTCATGTACAAATGTGTTACAACCCAAGTTGTTCTTTACACTGGTTCCTGATCCCCTTCTCATGTTGACCTCTGTCACTTTAGGGTTTCTGTATCAGTTCCTCTGGAGTGGGGACATCAAATGTGTTCATGTTTTGGGTTTTCTATCTATCCCCATACCTCCCGTATGTGCTCTCCTCTTGTCATGTGACCCAAGTCCAACAGCATTGCTGTAAATTTTAATGTTTTAGGGAAAATGAACAAAATAGGATTAAATTGGCAAGGCACTAATGGCTCAGACCTGTCTACTCAAAAGGCAAAGATCAAGAGGATCGATATTCGAAGCCAGCCACAGCAAATAGTTCACAAGACCCTATCTCAAAAATACCCAACACAAAAAAGGGCTGGCAGAGTGACTCAAGTACTAGAGCATCTGCCTAGCAAGCATGAGGCCCTGACTTCAAACCCCAGTACCACCCAAAAAAGGATTGAAATATGGTTTCACATTGTTCCATATTGCAAGATGTGTTAACGTGTTAACTTGTTATTCTTTCATTAAACAAACATTTGAGTTTAATGCACAAATAGGCTATTGCTGTCTGGTAAGCGTTTAAAGGCAATAGTAATAAAAAAATTAAACTCTTAAAAGGGGATTTTTGAGATCAAAATGACTCTACCTCTTGGCTTCCATGTAAAATTATTTGCAGCATAGTTATGGGGATGAGTTTAAAGCTTGGATACCTAGATTGTATTCTCAGCTGTACCCCTTCCTATTGTGTGGCTGTAAGCAAGTCACCACCTTTGTGAGATTAGCGTAATTACTGTGAACTCCACTTAAGTTAGGCCATACATCTTGTAAAGAATAAGAGCAGGCTTAAAGTGTTTTATATTTAAATTTGTTGAGAACTGATGAGCCCATACCTTAATTTCTCCCAAGAAATATCAATACATGCTTACTCTACTTTTAGAAGAGACTCCCGCTTCCAGCTATGATGAAGTACTAGACCAGATTTACCTTCCTGCTATAAATAATATAAAGGTGGGTGGAGAATATAACACAATGATTTTCTAACCTAAAAAATGAAGATAACCTACCTACTGTGAATGGTTTGTGGAATGCTAAATGGGGTGGTATGGCTGAAATTCTTTGGGAATATTATCGTGCCATCCATGGAAACGAGAGTCATTAAACTTTTATATTTTTTATGTTAGTATAAAATTTGCTATTAGACTGGGAGTGTAGCTTAGTGGTAGAGCACTTGCTTAGTATACATGAGGTTCTGGGTTAGATTCCCAGCACCCAAAACACTAACAACAACAAAAAAACCTGCTATCAGAATAAAAAGTAAGACATTTATTTTTATTTATATTTCATTCAGTTTACTATGCAAAAATATTTTTGTTGGAATGGAAGAAACAAAAATGTAGGCCTGATGAGAGAGATTAGAGATAGAGGAGATTGCTGCCCTTTTTTCCCCCACTGCATGTTTCTTAGTATTATTTTGTTCTCTTTCTCCACAATTTTCTAGCAAAGAGTGTGTGCAGCAGTTAGCTGAAAACACCCGGTATTTTAGGAGACGCCTGAAGGAAATGGGCTTTATCATCTATGGAAATGAAGACTCTCCAGTGGTGCCTTTGATGCTCTACATGCCAGCCAAAATCGGGTAGGTTTTGTTACAGCTCACAAACTTTTGCTCTCTCATCAGACTCAAGCATCTATGGTATGAGACTGTGGGTTACATATTTCCTTGGGAAAAATTGTCCTACCCTCATTGTGTTGACCTTTATTTGCTAGATATGCCATAGTTGACATAGTGGATTCCATATTGCAAGATGTGTTAACTTGTTATTCTTTCATTAAACAAATATTTGAGTTCCAGGTGCTTGAGATAGTTCAGTGAACAAAACACAAATATCTCTCTTTGTGGAGCTTACATTCTAGGGGGGCAAGAGTCAGTAAACATAAGTAACTTATGTAGTATGCTAGAAGCTGTGGGAAAAAAACAAAACAGACTATATAGGGATTGCGAGTGTCTGGTGGGTGGGCAGATAACAGTATGAAATAGTGCATCAGGGAAAGCCTCAGTGGGAAGGGAGGATGAAGTCTGAGCAGAGATAGGAAGGAGCTGAGAGTCAGCCATTTGGAGACAGAAGCATCTGTGCAAAGGCCACATGCAGGAACATGCTTAGTCGGGAAGAACAGCCACATGGTGACTGGAGCTGGAGGACCAAGAGCAGCGGGGAGCAGTGGGCCACAAGGTCAGAGAACTTGCAGCAGGACACATTACTGAATATTTACCAGGTGTCCTAATTATGCCAGCTTCTTTGGTTTGTTCATGGCATGCATAGTGGAGGGCCTTGCCCTGGAATAGCTTTCAATGTGTTTGAGAAATCCAGGTGAAATCAGAAGACTCTTTAAAGAGCAAAATGAACAATAATTATATTGAGTAATTATATTGAACAAATATAATTTGTATGCAAATTTGTACCCGAGTTGTAGAATAGTGATCATTTAGTGTAGGATCAGTTAAAAAAAAGGCTTATCTTTTCTTGTTTGTTTATTGGGGGTTTTGTTTTGCATTCCTTTTTTGAAATGGGATCTAACTACATTGACCACACTACTCTCAAACTCCTGGGCTCAAGCAATTCTTCTGCCTCAGCCTCAGCCTCCCAAGTGCTGCAGGCACACTATTTTTTTTTTTAATATATCCAAATCTCTTTTCTTTCTTTTTTGATACTGGAGATTGAATTCAGGACCTTGCCCTTGCTGGACTAGTGCTCTGCCGCTTGATGTACGCCCCAGTCCAAGGCACCTTTGTGATGAGTGAGGTTTGAGCTGAATCTCAAATAGGAGATTGAATAAGAATTATTTCTTAGGCTTGATTGGGCTCATTAAAGAAGCAAATATTTTTACTCATCTTCAACGCTCCAGTGTCCACCACACTCAGAAGAGTGTCCTGGCACTCAGAGGACACCCAGTAAATGTTTGTTGAAGTGAATATGGGAAATTAAATTGGGGAGCCTGGAAATAATGGTGATCCCAAAGATAGTGAAAAAGAATTTCACTAAGGCGAAAGAGAAGATTGTTTTTTTGTTTTGCAGTACTGAAGTTTGAACTCAGGGCCTTCATCTTGAGCCACTCCACCAGCCCTATTTTTGTGAAGGGTTTTTCAAGATAGGGTCTTTCGGAACTATTTTCCTGGGCTGGATTCCAACCGAGATCCTCCTGAGTAGCTAGGATTATAGGTGTGAGCCAGGCCGAGAAGATTGGTTTTTAACACCAAGTCATTGGGCAGTTGGCATTATGGCTTCCAAAGTAGGTGGTGGGAGATTTTCTTTATTCTTCTTTCAATGGAATTGTCATAGATAAACTTGAAAGTTATCAGATCTGGAAGACTTGGTCAAGACCTTTTCTTTAGAGAGAACTATCTAATCTGTGTACCCATGTGAAAGTGATGGTGTGCGTTTTTTGTTAAGTAAAGATCTAGAGAGGAAGGAGAAGAATTGGTGTAAAGCACTCAACAGTTTGGGAACTTGAGCCACTGATACAGGGTACTTGGCCCCATCCTGACACAGGAAAACCTGGTACTAGGGAGAGTGGGAAGAGGCTGAAAAGACTGCCATTAATATAGTACCAAATGTGCAGGAATTTTTATTCCTAAATAAGTACTGTAAACAAATCAAGGGAAAAGTAAAAAAGAAATATGGTAGAGCAACTTAAGAAAAGACACAAAACAGCATGATTTGGTAAACAAAATTAAAAGAAAATTTGTTATTTAGTCAAGATTCAGATGTAGAGTAATGCCATAAACAAGATACAGATGTGGAGTAAGGCCACAGAACAGCTGGCTTGGGGCAAAGTGTTTGTTAAAAAAGAATTGTATAGTCTGGGTAGTCAGGTAAAGCCAGGGTACCAGGTGGTCTGACAAAGACCAAAAGCATCTTTACCCCCAAGTCAGTAAAGAAATGCCTGATCTGGAGGGCCATTGCTAGTCAGCCACTCTGCCAGCAGAAAATGTCCACATTATAGCAAATTCTCTGTCCTTAAAATCTTAAGATTTTTTTAAATTGCCATGCTTATTGTTTTGAGGACTAAGATTTTAACTCAGTTTCATTTTGAAGCTTCTGAACCACTTACTGCATAACGGGAACTCTTTTTCTTTCTTTCTTTTTTTTTTTTTTTGTGGTACTGGGGTTTGAACTCAGGTCCTACACCTTGAGCCACTCCACCAGCCCTATTTTTGTGATGGGTTTTTTCAAGATAGGGTCTTGAGAACTATTTGCCTGAACTGGCTTTGAACCTCGATCCTCCTGATCTCTGCCTCCTGAATAGCTAGGATTACAGGTGTGAGCCCTCTGGGACCCAGCAATTTTTTTTTTTCTTTTCTTTTTTCTTCCTCCCTAACTTCCCTTTCTTTCAAGCTAGGGATTGAACCCAGGGCCTTGCGTATGCTAGGTACACATACTATCACTTGAGCTACACATCTAACCCTTCGGGTTTTCATTTCACTTTTGAGACAGGCTCTCACTGCTATCTTTGTTGGGGCTGACCTTGAACTTGCAATCCACCTGCCTCTACCTTCTGAGTAGCCAAGATTACAGACTTGTACCACCATGCCTGACATCAGGGACAATTTTTAAGGCTATGTTTACAATTCCCTTCAGGGAAACTATTAAAATTGGTCTCCACCAATTATATTCCTTCACAATTGTGAAGGAAACCATACGGGAGAAGACCATTGTAGTACTGAATAAACTGTTTCTGTGAACTGTTGGTTTTAACTTCAGAAGACAGAGGGCACTCCCATTAGAAATCTCCGATATCCCATCACAGAGTTTAAATCATTTGGGGCAGCAAAATCATGTATTGTGTGCTTTGTTACAATTCCTGGTTTCTTCGGTTTCCCTTTGCAGCGCCTTTGGACGGGAGATGCTGAAGCGGAACATTGGTGTAGTTGTGGTGGGATTTCCTGCTACCCCAATTATTGAGTCCAGAGCCAGGTTTTGCCTGTCAGCAGCTCATACCAGAGAAATACTTGATACAGTAAGTAGACACTTCTCACTTTGGGATTCATATGCCTTCTACAAAAAAGAGGCTGAGCTGGGGACATGGTTCAAGTGGTAGAGCTCCTGCCTAGCAAGGTAAGGCCCTAAAGTTCAAGCTCTAGTACTACCAAAAATAAAAACTCACAAAAAGGGGCTGTAATATCAGATAAAATGAATCATCATTTATCCTGATGTTCTTTGAGCACCTAGAATATTTGGTGATAAGACAGAAAAGTGCACAGTGCTACTTAAAACTGCCATCAAGCCAGTCGCCAGTGGCCCATGCCTGTAATCCTAGCCACTTGGGAGGCAGAGAGCACGAGGATCTTTGTTCAAAGCCAGCCCAGGCAAATAGTTCTCGAGACTATATCTTGAAAATACCCAACACAGCCAGGCACTGGGGGCTCACGCCTATAATGTTAACTACTCAGGAGGCAGAGATCAGAAGGATTGAGGTTCAAAGCCAGCCCCAGGCATATAGTTCTCAAAATCCTATCTCAAAAAAACCCATCACAGAAAAGTACTGGTGGAGTAACTCAAGGTATAGGCCCTGAGTTCAAACCCCAATACCACCAAAAAAATAAAAGAAAAAACCCAACACAAAAAAGGACTGCCAGAGTGGTTTAAGTGGTAGAGAACCTGTCTAGCAAGCGTGAGGCAGAGTTCAAACCCCAGTATGACCAAAAAAAATAATACAGATCTATAATCCCAGCACTAAGGAGGCTGGGCCATGAGACCAGAGGATCAGTGATTTGAGTCTGGCATGGCTACATATAAAGACACTGTCTATAGATGGATAGATACATAAATACATATCAAGACCCTGTCTATAAATAAATAATAAATAAATAGATTCTTCCTTTAAATTTTTCTATTAATTGTGGTAAAACACTTAATTTGAGATCAAATCTCAATTTTTAAGTGCACAGTACAGTACTATAGTATTGTTAACTATAGGCATGATATTGTGTATGACTGTATTTTTTGTTTCTGTGGGTAGGGACAGAGTCTTGCTATTTAGTCCAGGCTGGCCTCAAACTCAACAATCCTCCAGCCTCAGCCTCCTGACTGTTGAGATTATAGGAGTGTTCTACCACATCTGGCTTTGAGTGTGTTCTTAAATCACATTCTAACATTACCAAATTCATTCAGTTTACTGATAGCATATCCTTTTCTTTTTCTCTATTTTAATTATTCCTTTCAAATATTTTTGGTCTTTGCTTTTGCTCTTTTACTTTGTGGTACTGGGATTTGAACTCAGGGACTTGAGCTTGCTAGGCAAACTTTCTGCTTCTTGAGCCACACACTCAGCCCTTTTTGCTTTTTTAGTTTTCAGGTAGAGTCTCACTTTTGCCTGGGCCAGCCTTGAACTGAGATCCTCCTACCGATGCCTCCCCATGTAACTGGGATTACATATGTGCCCCACCACATCCAGCTTTGTTATGAGAGGGTCTCACTAACCTCAAACCTTGATCTTCCCAGTCTCCACCTCCTAAGTAACTGGATTTACAGGCATGAGCCACTTCTCCTGGCTTCTGATATATTTCAGTATGTTTTCCCATTTTTCAGAAATTTTACTGATGAATTTCTACAGGTTTTTTTCTTTTTAATTCAGTGGTTTCAGCTTTTCTTTCCATTGTACTCTATTTGAATATTTAGGAGCTTAATATGCTTTTTTCAAAATACCTGTGTCATTATAGGCAGTGTTTATACCTAAAAATAAATTTAACCCACGAAGTCTTTCACTTGTGCACTGGTTAAATTTACACTTATAAGCAAAGAAAAATTACATTTACACATTGTACATTTATAAAGATTTATTTACTGAAAGCTACAAAGCATGGCTGAAGAATTAAATAAATGGAAGGACAGCTCATATTCGTGGATTAAGAGATTTATTGTTAAGATGTCAGTTCAGTAATCTACAGAATCCAGTGCAATCCCTTTCAAAGTTCAGGTGATCTTTTTTGCAGAAATGGAAAAGCTGATCATCAAATTTGTTTGGAACTAGAAGGGCCTCAAAGAGCCAAAACAGTATTGAAAAGCAAAAAATCAAAATTGGAAGAATTATACTTCTCAATTGCAAAACTCATTAAAAAACTATAGTCCATAAGAATAGACATTTAGCTGGGTGCCAATGACTCAGGCCTGTAAACCTAGCTACTCAGGAGGCGGAGATCAGGAGAATTGTGGTTTAAAGCCAGCCCAGGCAAATAGTTCTGCAAGACCCTATCTTGAAAAACCCTTCACAAAAACAGGGCTGGTGGAGTGGCTCAAGGTGAAGGCCCTGAGTTCAAACCCCAGTACTGCAAAACAAACAAACAAAAAAACCATTTAAACCAATGAAATAAAACTGTGAATTCAGAATAGACCCAACAAGCGTCTGTGGTCAACTGATTTTCAACAAGAAAGCCAGGACCAATGACCAAAGAACAGTTTCTTCAGCAAATGGTGCTAGAATAACTAGGTGCTGAATGAAGTGGTGACCCTGCATCACAGAGAAACACTGAAAACAGTACGCACTGAACAAAGCCCAACACAGACCACATATTTCATGATCTCATTTATAAGAAATGTCCAGAAATAGGCAACTCCATCGGCTCAGAAAATAGATTGGTAGTTGCCAGACCTGAAGGAAGGGAGGAGTGAAGAGTGATATAATGAGTTCAAAGTTTCTTTCTGGGGTAATAAAAATACTGTACAATTAGTGGTGAAAGTCATGCAACTCTGGGAATATACTACAAAGCACTGAAATGTATACTTTTAAAAAGGTAAATTGTAGAATATGAATTATATCTCAATAAAGTTATTGTTTTGAGAAATGGAGACAGTAAGGATATTGGCTGGAGTGAGGGCAGCTATCCTAGAATATTTCTTTCATCTTTTTTGTGATGGTACAGGGGTTTGAAGTCAGAGCTTCACATTTGCTGGGCAGGTACTCTACCTTTTGAGCCACGGCTCCAGCCTAGAATATTTCCTTATTCAACCCTATAATTAATATATTCCCCCCCAGGAGCCCATCTTATCCTGTGATCCAGAAGTTCAGTGTAAACTATTTGTTAATAAATGGTGATACATATAATGACCACTAACATGTGTTCCTAATCTAATCAAATAATTCCACAAAAGAGCCATCAATAAATATAATTTAATTGTCTGAACCAGGCACATGCCTATAGTCCAAACGACTCAGGAGCCCAGGACTCCCCAAGACCAGTCTGGGCAACATAGTGAGACCCCCATCTCAAAAAACAAACAAAAAAAGTTAGCTGAAATATTTAGTATGAGATCAAAAGAACTCATAATCTAAGAACTCATAATCTAGGCCCCCTTGGGCCACTATAGGCTCGCTTTCTATCTCTATAATCATTTTCTTTTTTACATTGATTAAAAAAAAATTAGGCTCATCTAGTTCATAAATGTCCTTTCTTCTGTGATCTTAATAAGTCATATGGACTTTTGTTTTAAATGAATAAATCCTATACCAGAGTTAGGGGAATAAATGGATAATGGGTTCTTCCAGCTGAAATTCAGCTTGTTTCTATATGAAGTTTTCAATTAAATTTCTTCTCAAAGCCACCACTGTCTGACAGTGTATTCACATCCAGTTCTTTTTTTTTTTCTCTCTCTCTCTCCAAACATTGATATTTACACATTAAATTTAAGAACAGGTGAATATGTCTTTACACTCATAATCAATTCTGAAATATAAGATGTACATTTTCAAACAGGATTACAAATAGAAGACTGATCAGGTTGGTGCAATGTCAGGAAGATTCAGAGAGCCACACACTCAAGCAACATGTTCCCTTTTCTACCAAACATATCACTCATTCTTTGGTGAATTATACCCTTTATCCTGTATCTTGGCTACTTGCATAGCCCATTGGTCATGATCAGCCTGAAGCCTTATTCAGAAGCAGTTCTTCTTACAGCTGTATGAAGTCTGATCTGCGTACATGCACACATGCCATCATCAGAGAATCTTGCCATGATGTTTCAGCCCAATAAAGCATCAGGCATATCTGCTTCCTGCTGGCCCAGACTGACCTCTGCCTTGCTTTGTGCATTTTAGGCTTTAAAGGAAATAGATGAAGTTGGGGACCTGCTGCAGCTGAAGTATTCCCGTCATCGGTTGGTGCCTCTACTGGACAGGCCCTTTGATGAGACTACATATGAAGAGACAGAAGACTGAGCCTTTCTGGTGCTCCCTAGAGGGACTTTCCCATCCCGGGCAGTGTGTGGCCTTTCTGAGCCAGTTCCAGGAACCACACTTCTTCAACCACCTCATGTGAAGGACATTTCCTCAACTACTGAAGGTGGTCACCTCCACTCTAAATGGCATTTTGTAAATAGTAAAAAAAAAAACAAAAAAAACCTGCTTCACATCCTTCATTTGCTAAGTCTCACCTTTAAAAAATGAGGTGACTTATTTTGTCCATTAAAAAACGTTTTATTTTATAACTATTCTACTCGGGAAATCACACTGACCCCAGCCTGTCTGGCTAAGCACACAGGCATTTTCATCTCTAGCCTCGAGATGCTCCCTAGCGAGCAAGTGCCTTTTGCTTACTTCCCATCCAGGTCTCAGAGGTTGCCCAACTTGAAATCCTTATTTTACCAGTCAATTTATCAACCAAAGTATTCTCCCATTAGTATTAATTTTAGCCTTTTAAGAAAAACAGTAAATGGTAACAATGCTGAAAGACTTACTGTATAACGCTCCCTGACCAAGGACCTCCCAAAGCTTTGGTTTTATTCCATTTTTTGTTCTGTCACCAAAAGATTTCTTCCTTCACTGTCAAATACTTCTTTATGTGGTCACAGTCTGAGGATATGTCCAAATTACAGTTCTTCCCAAGCACTAACCTTGATTCTTCCAAACTCCTGCTTAAAACTCACTGTTTTAGAAGCACCTACATCCCATCCTGCTCAGACCTTGGTGGTGAAGCAGCATACCTGTCACCATTACCAGTCAGTGTTAAATCTGCTCTATAAGTAACAGGCACTCCTGGAGGGGTGAGAGACAGGGGCAGTGTGGGATAAATCACTGACTTACAGAATGGCTGGGGTTGGATTTCTCACTGTTCTCTACTTTTCAAAATTACAACAGCCTCTCACTGGGTCTGAATCCAGATTAGGATTTAACTTGGTAAAAGAGAATGTTGGTCAATCTGCTCAGAAAACATTTACCATGTTCCTGTTTCAGCATGAAAGTTATTAACTTAGCCCTTTCAGAAGCTGACCACTTAAACATTACTCTTCTGAATGCTAGTTCTTCTACTCTTGGTGTCCTAAGCTCTGTGTGTGTGTGTGTGTGTGTGTGTGTGTGTGTGTGTGTGTGTGTGTGTAACTGGGGTTTGAACTTAGGGCCTACCCCTTGAGCCACTCCACTAGCCCTTTTTTTTTTTTTTTTGTGATGGGTTTTTTTCGATAGGGTCTCACAAACTATTTGCCTGAGCTGGCTTTGAAATACCATCCTCTTGAGTAGTTAGGATTATAGGCATGAACCACCAGCACCTGGTTTATACTAAGGCATTTTAACTTAGCATCTGGAGTAGGTTCTTCCTGTGCTTACATTATATATTTTTTTCTTTTTTTTTTTTTGTGAGAAATGTTGATCACATACTTCTTTCCTAAACTGGAATGATATCCTTTGTTTTAACTCTGTTTTCATACTATAACCAGGCAAAGAAACTTCTTTCAGAGAACTTTGTACTGCTTGACCAAAGAATATATCTGAAGATCACCATTTTAAAGTTCTTAGTTTTTCTTTTGACCAAAGTTTAAGTAAAGACAACATTTAACTTTAAAAACCATGATCAACTTGTCTTTTAGTAGCATCAAATATTACAGGGAAAGGATTGGGAACAGAATGAAAAAAAAAACTGTGTGAAAGTGGTTTTGCACATGTCTACTTGTTCCTTTTCTTTGTAAAAACTCCCAATCCTAATATCCTGGGCATCTTGTCATCAGTTGTGGTATATCTGCATAGATACATGGAATAGAGGATATAAGCAGTATTGTTGTTTGTGAAGTTTTGTTTTCATGTCCTGAGTATAACTTAGCTTTGATCACTCTCAGCATCTGAGAGCTTTAAGCCCTTGAGATATTTCAAGTTTTTGTCAATTTTTAATTACAGAACTGAAAAGGGCAAATAAAAGAACGAAGGAGAAATGCAAGAACTATATTTAGCACTCACAAGTTAAATTAAAAGATTGTGGTAACTAAGTCCTATAAACTCAAGTACACTGCTAATCTTTCCTGCACATTTAGTTCCCTGCTGTAGAATCCACTACAATACCAAGTCACTTTTGCACTGCAGTTGCTATTTAATGGAGTAGGTGTAGGGTTTATATAAGTCACAAACTTTAAGTATTGAACTTACCTGCTCTTCTTTCATTTTGGCTTGCATGAACTCACTGCAAATAAAAATGTCAGTTAGTATGGGCATTCAAAAATTTATATATAGATTGATCATTATATGTATGATATATATCACTTTTGCTAGTGCAGAGTTATTTCAGGATAAATGTAATGAAGTAACAAATTTATTTCAAAGAGACAAAATGCTTGTGATCTATTAAGGATCTGTGCATGTTAAAGGACAAAATGTTATATATACTTTATATATGGCTGTTTGTCTCTTCTTAAAACTGTAATATACATCTAGGGTCCTGTCATATCATAGGTATTATTTGTCCACGTTCTTGGGGAAATAGAAGTGTATATAAATATAGTCATTGAGAATGAATAGAAACCTGGGATATACAAGTATTGTTTAGTCCAAAGTATAATATGACCTGAGGGATTCCAACAGATGTCAGTTAACCATTGCTACTGAAGCTGATAACGAGTCAGTAGATAGGGTTGTGACTAATCCTTATACTTTTGCTCATCCTTCTTTTATTTGGCATTGCCTTTATTCATTTCATGTTTATAAGACTTCTTTCAGCAGATCACATCAGAAGCCATGAAATGCATAGCTAGGAGACATCAAAATCACAAAGAGTAGATCAAGTATTAATGGCAGTTTCTCCTATATTTATTTTAAAAGCTTTAACTTAGCACAACAGGGACTTTGGAGCACTTTTTACCACTTTTTTCTTTGCTTTAGATTTAAAAAAAAAAAGTCCCTTAGAAAAAAAGGTTCGAGTCTCTGGAACCCATAAGTACTGTTTATTTGAAAAAGCTAGCCATCTTTGTCCTTTAGTCAGTACCTTAAACTATCATGATTGGGTCAGGATTTCAAATGATCAAAACAAGCTTCTTCCTCAAGTAGCCAGGGAGACGAACAGAAATATCCTACACAAATACTTAGGGTTTTGTGTTTGCCCAGTGCCCCTTTCAGAGGTCAGGGAGTTGAACATTCAGTGATTTGTCCCTCTGTATTTCTCCCTCCTTCATTTGGCCTTTGTTTCCGTATGTATCTTCCAGTCCTTGATTTTTTTTAGAAGTCCAGCTCTGAAGAAAACTGAAATATGATAGTGCTGGGTTTTTGGGATCAGTAATTCAGCCTGGTGTCCTTGTACACTCAGCTGTACATTTCAGAAAAAGGCAGAATAATTCATTTCTTCCCTGCTTAATTAAGGCAGCCTGTATCTAAGTTTCTCATAAATGGTACAGTCCAGCTGAATTATCTAGTGTATAATACACCTATTAGTGAAAACCAGGAGGAAGAATGGTTAGAGTTTTTCTGACTTAATAGGAGAGGAAAAATTATGATTATCTTCCATTACCTCCCTGATTTTGTCTTTTCTAAATCAGTGAAGAAAGAAGTCTCATTATTTTGTAAAGATTTGTAGCATTATGGCAAAACCACCTAGAAAAGTCTAAATAAAGAATTCCTGTGAGCCAGGTGTGTTGGTACACACCTGTAATCCCAAGCACTCAAGAGGCTAAGGCAGGAGGATCTTGGGTTCAAGGCCAGCCTGGGCTGTACATAGGAAGACCCTGTCTCAAAAACAAACCAAAAAGAAAAGAATTGCTATGACACAATTCTCAAGGTACCCTTCTCTCCTGGTGTTTTAAGTAAGCTACAATGTATTTTAATGTCTGTTTGCTTCAAGTGTGTGGTTAGAAAAAGAGAAAGTAGTAGTTTTCCTTTCTAACTGCCTAAACACATGAAGATCAAGAATTACTGAGTGTTTCACAGAGGTAAAATCAACTTAGTCTAGGTTGTGAAAAGAAGGGTATGAAAAATCAAGGATTCCTCATCTGCTTAGCAGAGAATATAGTTATTTGTTTTGTTTTTTCGTTCTCAGAACCTATCGATTGCTGCTACCTGCTTAACACAGAAGTTCAGTGCCCAGCTGGCATCTTAATCCATTAAGCAGGTTAATCAGAATGCCTTCCATGTAGAGAATAGCTTGCCCTTTCCTCCTCTACTTTATCCACATGAAATGTGTGCTCGGGCTCCTAGCCAATTACCCTGTGTCCAGCCAGATAGAATTAGAGGGCTTGCTTCCTCCCTGATCACACAGAAGACATGGAAGCCCTGCCAACGAGTTTTTGCTTTATTTGTATGCAAAACCCTTTTGTCATTTCCAGTGACTGTTTTCCAAACAGAATCTGTAGCTTTTTGCTATAGATTGAATCTCTGCTAGGGAGGAAACAGAGCTAGCTAATGCAAATAATTATTCTTGTCTTCTCTGGTGAGTCTGGAGGTTTCACATTCACAGTTCGTCCTTCGGGGGTGGCTTGGTGTGGGTTGCTGTGGAAAAGGCTTTGTTTACTATATAGGACACATGATAAATGGCCTTAAACTATTATTCTTTGTGGTATGATGAATTATAATAAACTGACCCTAAAGAATACAGTGGATCTTACACTGCAGTTTACTGTATTCTTAAGCAATACCCAAAGCTCAGTTCTGTTAGAGCATTTGAGGGCAGGTTGAATGAAAGGTGCAAACAAGGGCAGTACCCTGATGTTTTTTCTCAGTGTCTGCATTGTTGCCATCTGCATGAATAAGTAAATCCTTCCATGCATAAGGAGAATTGTAGCCAACTCAAAGTCTGCATTTTCCAACACAATTTCCAGGTTTCTTATGTAAAGCATGGTTGCTTGGTGTAGGCCTTCCAAGCTATTGGGAGACCTATTACCAACTAGGGTGGAGTGGTGACCTGTCTTCACCAGGGATTGATTAGCCAAGAGTTGGAATTGGTGAAAGCTTCCTTGCTGGTTCTTCACAGGACACTAGAAATAACCCTGACAGTACTGCCAGCATGCCCACACGGTCTTGATGATTCCTCTCTGTATAAAGGCAGCTAACAATAAGAGAAGGGGGAAAGAGAGCTGTCTTACTTTATTGGTCTGTATTTTCCCACTGACCAAGTTACTGTAAACTGGAATTTGCAAGGTGTGCTGTGTTGATAACCCCTTTCCATTGCTATAGTTTCATATATTCTGGGAAAGTGAGAGAAGGGGAAGTGTAAATAAAAGCATTTTTTAAAGTTTAGAAATGTGTTAAAATGTCACTCTTTTACCCTTTTTGCAAGATGATTTATTTTATTTTATACTGGATGACTGTGAAGCTATAAATAGTGGATTGGAGTAGGTGTATCAGTTTTGAGAATGCATGTGAAGAGCTAAAGGGGAACTTCTTGAGACTTGAGAATCATTCCCATGCAAATATTGTTTTGCTCTAATAAAATATTCAGAAAGATACATCTGCCTTGACTCATTCAACCAGTAAATATTGAGTGCTGTCTCTGTGCCAGCAAGTGCACCCAACATTACCAATAACAGTAATGAGTAAATAGATGTGTTTCCTGTTGTCTAGTAAACAAGCACAGGAACATGCATATCCTCTTATAAGCTGCTAAGGGCAGTGGAGGAAAAGTGAAATGAGTAATAAGAGATTGTACCCAGTCTCTGGTTTACACAGAGGTGACAGAGAAAACTTGTCTGAGGAAATGGTGTTCTGAACGGAAGTTCCAGTGAAGAGCTAGCAAGCTCAGCAAGCAAGGGGAGAGTGGTAAGGTGATAAGGTAGCAACAAGAGAGAGGCCAGCCACCTGGCTCCACAGGTCAGAGGTGTTTTCTCTTACTGCAGGGGAAGCCACTGAAGAGCTTTAAGGACTGAAAAAGATAACCACTAGCATGCTTTTTTAATAGACATTGGCAAGTTGATAAAATTTATATGGAAATGCCAAGAACTTAGAATATTCAAAACAATTTTGACTACCTGATGATTTTGTAGAAAGTTACAACAATCATGACAGGGTGCCCTTGGCATTAGCGTGGATCAGTAAAACAAAACAGAGTCCAACTAGACCCACACATATATGACCAGTTGATTTTCAACA